CCGAATTCAGCTCTCTGTAATTATTCCAAAACTAAAATTAATACCTTCAAATTCCACTTGTTACGTACAAAAAAAAAACCCCTGAAAAATTGCAATTGAATCGAAAATCTTGCAGGAGCTCCAAAACTGGCAGATTTCAATTGGAATTTATTCGTCGATTATCCGGCGAAGCCTTGATTTCAAAAATAGCAAAGAGGTCGCGGTAAACGATAAACTCGAGGTGCTCGTTACGAATCGAAGTAGCGTGACACCGCGGCAATTCGAAAGGAAAAGGGGGTCGCGTACACCGATGAGCAATTAACGGAGGCAAACCGCAGCTTGGCCGCAGCGGATCGAGGTCCTCGTTATTCGGCAATTATAAATTGAATCGGCGGCACGTGGGCCGGAGACGCGATACGTTATCAACGTCGATCAGGGCTACCGCCGCACCAATTTAATTATTCGAACGAGGCTCGCCAGCGTAGACGAGATCCGCTTCCGGCTACCGGTGCCGATTAATCGCAAGACGTAATTCACCTTCGTTTATAACTGCTGCTCATTTTCAGGAGAACGCTGTCCGTGAAAGTTGCAAGAAAGGGTGAATTTGTGGAACTGGAGGAAGAGTTGGGTTTGATATAATTCAGCTTCGTTTCTAATTGGAACTCGTTTCAGGGAAAATCTGTCTGTGAAAGTTGCAAAACGGGTGGAATTTTGGGGAGCAGAGAAAGGGTGGGTTTTAGACATATTCAGTTTTCCTTCTAACTAGAATTTATATTGGGAAAATAGGTCTATGGAAGTGGAAGAAAGGGTGAAATTTTGGGAGCAGAGAAAAGGGGTGTTTTAGACACAATTCAGCTTTGCTTCTAATGTCGTATACCTCTCTCCTGTCTTTCATTAGTTTTTAGTCATCCTGCCTCCTTTCCTTAACTGTAAACAAATCCGCATCATCCTAACGTTAGTCACCCCGAAACCTAGACCTTCACATCATCCTTTACTTTTACTCATCGCTGAACCTAGACCTCACCGCCTCTCCCTACATTGACCTCTGAGACCAACCCCTACTCTCGTACTTACCGAACCTATATCTAGAAACCTTTTCCGTCGAAACAGCAGATTTTTGTCTGGTGGTCTTCACGCACCGAACGTCACCGAACTGTCTAATAAAGTGGAATAGTACTACGCGCAGAATAGCTCCCTTATTTCGCCCCAGTTTCCGTCAGGCTCTCCTACCGCGTACCTATTGAATATAATAAACCAACGCAAGGAATCGCGAGCCGCGGAAAACAACACTAACTAGAAGTTATTTTGGGAAAATAGGTCTATGGAAGCGGAAGAAAGGGTGAAATTTTGGGAGCAGAGAAAAGGGGTGTTTTAGACATATTCAGTTTTCCTACTAACTAGAATTTATTTTGGGAAAATAGGTCTATGAAAGTGGAAGAAAGGGTGAAATTTTGGAATTAACGAGAGGACGCGTGTTAACATAGATAAACTCAAACTATTCAAGGGTTGCTTCGTTATTACATCATAGATAGTATTGTGAAAGAAGTTTGGAAATTAAAATTAAGGATCGAAAGTTACTATAGTAATCTGTATAAAAAAATGAAATAGAAACTTGTGGAACTAGAAGAAAATCTGAGGGTTGTTTCATTATTATACGGCATGTAGCTTCGCGATAGAGATATGAAAGGAAACTCTGCCTGTGACAGTGGAATAAAGGGTGAAATTTTGGAATTAACGAAAAGACACATGTTATGTAGTGCTGTGAAAAAAAAATATGGAAATTATTACAGTAATCGCTAGGAAAAATGAAGTATGGTGAGATTTGTGAATTTGGAGGAGAGAATCGAATAATTCGAGGATTGTTCCATTCTCATATAGCAGGCAGTATTGCGAAAGAGATATGAAAGTTAAAATTAAAGATTAAAAACTACTACAACAATTGTAATAAAGAAGAAAGCACGGTATCTGTGACACTATCACAGATCTTAGAAGAGGTTAATATCAAAATCGATAGAAGCATAATTAGCCAGCGTGGTAATTATCCCTGGCGAGCAACGAGGACAAAAGCAATTTCGAGTCTCTATTTGATTCCATCGCTTTCGAAAGTTCTTGCTTCGCTGCCGTATTACTCTTATCGAGTGGTCTGAAAGCTCGAGGATCATAAATCAAGAACCTCGAACCGATATAATATCAGACAATTCTCTCCAACTTCCTCCTTTTTTCCTTTCCATTCACCTCCTAACTCCATTTGTCTACGCAAAGAAGAAGGAATCAGTGCGAAATAAATTGCCGGTTTTCTTCAAAATACAATCGTGCACATTTTATTGCAGGATCGAATCTGGATAAACGTGGCAATCGGTGAAACCCACGGAGTGATATACGAGCCCCGCGATAAATCAACCGGTTGGCAACGAAACTTTATCTTAATTGGCCGCGGGTTTCGTTAAAAGAACGTCGAAGAAACGGCGTAAATAAATCACAGTTTGATCCGGAATGATAACGGCT